TACAGATTTATTTATTATTATCTATTTTTTATTATATCTAAGGAAACATTTCTAAGAAATTGAAACATATTATTTGTAATTTTAAACGTTTTTTTTTTCAAATTATGCTTCTAGGGGTAATTTTTTGTCTGAGTGTGGCAGCTTAGCACGTAGGGTATTTGAAGTCCAACATGTTCTGTATTGATTTCTGAATTTATTGTCTTTATATTTGCTTATGGCCAAACAGAACTTGCCACGACTGAGTGCGTGTCGAGTGTGCATTGGAACGTTAATGATTCTATGGTTAGATAGACAGTCTAATGAAATTGAAAGCAAATACGCTGCAGCGCCCAAAGTCAAGGAGCAGATAGAGAGAGAGAGAGAGAGAGAGAGAGAGAGATAGAGAGATGGAGAAAGAGGTAGGGAGATAAATCATGGTGGCATTACAAGTTAATTATGGCTTCAGAGGAACTTCTATTCTTAGCTGCTCCAAGCTAATTGCCAATTATTGTAAGCGCTGTGAATAATGTCAAGCACCAATAAAGTTTCCTTTTTTCGCATTCACTTTGTATTAATCAATATTCACTTACTCGACTTTCGCTTGAGTGTTGCAAGCAGCATTCGCTCAATGTGAAGCGTTAAGCATATTTACACGCTAACTTATCTAACACTTTGGCTAAGTAACTTCTCAAATTGACACACATTTTTCCCCATTTTTTTTTTTTTGATAGAACAAAGGAACGTCATTAGAGATTGATGCACAAAAGGCAGGACTTTGCCAGCTACAAGCTGCATGCTACATGCTTTCCGCATTATTGAAAACTTAGCCGTAAGCAGGCGCTGCAATTAAGCAAGCCCAGCTTCGTGCAACAACAGCAACAAAGTACATTTTATGCTAACGGGACAACGAGGCATATGCAAGTTTTATGCAAATTGCATGTAGAGTCCTGGAATCGTCCAAAAAAAAGGGGGAAGAGAAGAAAAGAGAGAAGAAGGATAAGTTACTTTTAAAGTGTTCCGCCTGTGGGCCTAAACGCTTCATTGGCCCAAATGCAAGTGGGCCTGCATATTTGTTGGCAGTCTGATGGTTTTCTGATTTGCATTCGAAGCAGCAAGTTGCTCTGTGTTTTTAGGCGCTTTTTGTTGCCAACATGTTTATTATTTGGCAATTGAAATGCTAGCAAAAAGTTACGCATATGTGCAAGGGGGGAGGAGTCGAGCAGAAAGTGAGTTGCTACAAGTGGCAAGTAGCCTGATTGCTGCTGTTGCTTAATTTGCTACTCTCCTTTTTCGTAATATCTAAATCATTGCCATCAAAAGTTTCCTTGAGCCAAAAACAATAACGCCAATAACTAGGATAAACAAGTTGGAATTTTGCAGACGTTTGAGAGCTCGAGATCATTTGCGATGGACTCGGGGCATAAAAAATAGTTTGCTTGCAGAGCCAAAGCTTGAATACAACTTGAATACTCTAACATTTCTATTTTTTCAATTCTTCAAACTTTCGAAATTCTGAACATTTTAATAGTTAAACAGATCTGCGTTTGCTATAGATATATTTCATATTTATGCTAAGTTAGTTATATCTTTGCTGTTGTTAATTAAAAAATGATATAAAATATAAACTGATGCCAAAACCAAGTCAAAGTAAGTCCAGGGTATTGTGAAATTATGAAATACAAACATGCAGGTCAAGTTATTAGACAAGTTCAGATTTAGTGCTGAGGCTAACATTTTGCTTAGGTGTGGTACAAAGAACGGCAGCAACAAAAAGTCAAAGAGTAAATTCTGCTGCAGGTGCAGATTCAGGTGTGTCTGTGTGTGATTGTTTGTGGCTAGAACAGGCCGAGTAAGCTAACCAAACCGACGCCCTGCTGGGCTTGTTTTTGGTTTTTTGGCTTGTGTAACTATTTTCTATTCATTTATGCATTTTGGCAATAAAAATTTCATTTTTTGCTTAACTAAGTGAAACGAAAAGGTTAAAAGCGGCAACGCAACAGCGAACGGATATCAAGAAGAGGAGAAACCGGAGCAGGACCAGGAGCAGGAGCAGAAGGAACAGGAACAGGAACTAGCAGCAGGACATCGTCTCTGGAAATGAATGGAACTTTTTATCTTGGCCGCTGTTGTTTGTCCCGCTGTCTGCCCCTCTGTCTGTCTGTCCTACTCTCTGTCTCTCGCTCTGTCTGTCTGTCTGTCTGTCTGTTCCATTGCCTAGATAACATTTCCGTCTGCTTGCTTTTTGTATGGTTTATTGTTGTTGTCGTCGTTATTGTTGTTTTTTGCTCTTGTTTGTTTGCAAACATTTTTTAAATTGTTTGCTGTAATTTGTTTCCGGCCAACGGCAAATGGCCGTTGCGCCATTTTCTTCATAAAAAGGGCTGTGCTAAAGGGCAAGGTGGGGAAAGGGTGTTGGAGATATCGCTCTAGTGACCCATTGTAACCGCACTATGTCGGTGTACAATTTTTGCAGCCTTTTCGTTTTGATTTTATTTTTATTAAAATTATAATTTAAATGTTCGTCGGACCATTTGGTCTTTTTTTTATTATTATTATTTGTTTTGAATTTGGCTGGCACGATTCAACCCAGTTTTGCCAGCTGTGGCAACAGCTGCAGAATTATATCCTGATCCCGGCCACCAACTCCAATTAGTTGTGTAATGCGTCTCTGCATTTCGCTCGAACATTTATTGGTATGACTTTTTGCAAAACGATTTATGGCATGCATATAAAAAAAAAAAATATATATATATATATATATCTATGCAAATGCGATTTTGCAGCTGTTGTTGCTGGCGTTGGCAAAAATATTTCATTGCCAGCAGAGCAAAGCTTAGAACTAGATCAACTAGGAGTTGCCCATTCTGGCAGAGTTCAGCAATCAGACAGACTGTATATTATTGATAAATAATAAAAATATATACTTAATGGTATTGTATAGATTTACTTTTCTTATATATATTTCCACAGCCTCATGCTATCCTTCCTTACCAATTTTAATGGTTGTAGGGTATTACAAAATTTGCTACGCTTCCGTTGCCCATTTTTGGGCAAAATATCTGCGCACTTTGCTGCTCAATTATTCCCGTTCATTTTAAATTGCATTACTAAATTATGCTTGTGAATTCAAAAATTAGTTGCTATTAAATGTAAATGAATTATTGAATGAGTTTTTTTTAAATAATTATGTTTGCAAGTCTATTGGAGTGTTTTAGGTTATTGAATTAGCTGGAAAATCATTAAACCTGGTACAAATAAGTTATGCAGGAGTATGAAACAGACAGTTGGATGTATGTCCGATACCATAAGGTATTTATTTTCATGGTCGACGTCAAAAAGCGAGTTGAATTAGCCATGTTTGTCTATTTATATATATGAAGAAGTCAATCTCAGAGATTACAAGAGCTAGCGACTTCAAATTAAATACGAGTCCTCTTTTACCCCAAGCATATGAAGTTTATTACATGTAATCGATAACTGCAACCGTTTCGCGAATATCTATATTAATCGATTACCCATAGCAATTAAATGCACAATCTTAAAGATCTATAATATAATATAAATGTATTTTGACACTGAGCAAAATACATAATATTATCAAAAAGGTGATTTTAGTTACTGGTGTAAATAAATAAATTTATTTTTGGTGTGTTTATTTTCATTTTATATTTATATTACTATATTTTTCAACTGGTTAGAGGGTATCTTCTAGTCGAACTGTCTCCACCGGCGCATTAAAAGTTGTTTTTATTAGTTTTGAATTTACGTTTTTAATTGGAATCACTGCAGTTAAAGCTTCGAAGTGTTGGTTAAAAATTCTTCTTGTTAATATTGACGTTGCTGGCAATTGAGCGTCAGCATTAGGCAAATAAAAGTTTATCATGCCGCTGCTGATGCGGCTTGCCACGTGCTGCATTTGAAATTGTTGCAAAATCACGTAGCCTCGACGGCCATCCAAAACTGAAAACCAAGTTAAACATTAAACATTCGCATAGTTCTCATATCTGCAACGCATTTTGTGCATACTTAAAAACAATGTCTTGTTTCAAAGTATCTGATTGCATTCCAGCTATTGAAACTATTTGATTGTATTTATACAGAATTTGTGGAAGTTAAGTGCGCAAATTTAGCATGCTCTTCAAATGTTTTGTAGAGAAACAATTGAATTATTGCAATTACATACATAACCAGCTATAATTACTTAGATATAGACTCCTTAATTCTTCAGCACTGAAGAGAATAAGTCTTTTTAATATTTAAGTTAAGTGATTTGATTTTATTGCTTATAGATCGATATGGCTCAAATGCTGTTAAATTTACGCAAAGAAATGTGCAAACTAGTAAAAAACCAAACTTTCAATACTATTCTCCGTTCTCTAGATTGTTGTGCATGATGAAACTGTAGACTTGAATTGTGAAAATCAGTGTTTGAATTGTTTGCTTACTGCTATTGCTATCAACTATAGAGAGCACAATGCAGTTTTGTTTTTGCCCCTGAGCAGAGCAGAGCAGAATTTAGCAATGGAGCTGATACTATTGCTATTTTAAGGTTCATAGCTCTAGCAATAGCAAAACGAAAAAGGTAGCGTAGCATTTTTATCACTGACTAAAAATTTGGAATAATCTTATTCGTTATCCCTAATTTGCCCATATCAAACTCAACAATAGAGTTTTAAACATTTTATTCCTGCTAAAAACTGCTATTCAAATTTGGTACATTTTTTGTACAATGGTCGGAAATGGGTTGAGTAATTGAATACCTCTAAGCTGAGCTCCAATTTTGTTTATATATCAGCTGGAATTCAACGCTCTATCAAAAAAGCTGAGCTGACGCAGTTTGAGCTATGCACAATCATTCTGCTCGGCTCACACGTCAGCCAGCCAACTCAGCCAGACTGAGAGACTTGAGGCACCGAAACATAAAGTCACGTATTTGTCTGAGGCAGTCGACAGTTTAATTTACACTTTCGATTGGAACTAACGCGATTTAAATTGCTGAAGCAAATTACAAACTACTCTTAGATAAAAGCGTAAAATTAAAGTTTTCTCAGTCATGTTTAAATTGTGCCACAATCTGTTGATTGTAAGCTGTCTGAGCCTGCTTAGCTATCATTTGCACTTTGTGAATGCCACCGAGCAGGACAATAATCTGAAGGATTTGCTCCATGCCTTAAACGATGACTTAGATCTGACGAATGTGGAGTGGAGAGCAATGATTCCACTGTTGCTGCAACGTCAGCAAGTGCGTCTCTGTGTGGCAGTCTATCTCTACGAACCACATCTGGTGGCAGGCACAGATTGTGAGCCGCTGTTGCGCAACGGCCAACTAATGGCATACTGCGATATTGGACATGTCGAGGATCTGAGCATGACAATGCGTGATGCATTTGGTGGCATGCTCTTCGATACACAGCAACGTTGCCGCCAGGGCCTGGAAATCTTTGGAGTACGCTGCCGGCGACGTGCCTAAGAGAAGGGGAGAGAGTGGAGGAGTCGCAAACTGGAAGAGATTGAGGCCAGAAATGGAGCACCAGTGAATTTGCTAATTCAGTTTTCTTAGTTCGCCTTCCACACCTCATCATCAAGTTTGCCTTGCTGCTGCTGTCGTTGTCGTTGTTGCTTTCGTGTCCCTTGTCATTTCAATGTGTCAATAAAAATGCGATGTGGGTGAAGGTCTTTGCCTCATCTCATCTCATCTCATCTCGCCTCAATCTAACTCTCTCTCTCTGTGTACACTCGGAAAATAATTCGACTTGAATTTTAGATATTCTTTTGGTGCCAAGTGTAACTCACCTTATTATGCAGAAAGTAGACTTCTAAAAACCATTTTTTTCTTTCTTCTAAGTTCAGCATACACTTTTCTCAGATTTAGAAAAAATATGAAACATTTTCGGTGTGTTTTTATCATATGTGTAAATAGAGAACTCTAATCACAAGCTTTATTGTTGCTTATCTTAATTAATAATTGGTATTTTAAGTTTTCACATAGAAACTTTCTTCAGTTCTAGTTTTTCTTTTTATTTTTTTGAGTGTGCTGTTCGGACCAAACACAGCTCCGAGTTCTTGCTGCATGCTTAGAGAAGCATCATGACAAATGACGATTATAATTTGTAAAATTTGCACCCTGCTTGTTAAACCACGCCGAAGGCGACAGGCAGCCAGGCAGGCATCCAGGGAGGCATCCAAGGAGGCAGGCAGGCAGGCAGGCAGTTCTCTGGCCTAGTTTTTCTTGCTTTCAGATGCAGTTAGTCCATTGCAATTGTTGTTGCAATTAGCAGTGACAGCAACGTGGCAAGCGGTGGGGAGGAGGAGGAGGCGTGTTGCATTGGGGGAAAGCATAAGCACTATGGACAGCTGAAAAACTGATGGCTTGATTTTTCCATTAAACATTGTAAATGGAAAATTGCACAGCGCACAGAAAGCAACAGAAACATTTTCGTTGTGCTCGGTTTTTGATGGTCGTCGTTGTTGTTGTTGTTGTTGTTGCTATTGCTGTTTCTTGTTGGCAATTACCGGGCAATGGGCGAAGCATTTAGCTTGAAATGATGTCCATCATGAGTTTCCATTTTCACTGCTTTACTGTTTGTAATTGTTATTGTTTTTATTTTTGGTTTTCTGTTGTTGTTGTTGCTATTTTCAGCTTAATTTGTGTGCTGATGTGCTAAAACACCTCTGCATCAATTTCTCCCATTCCCTCTCCCTATAGATATATATTTATATATATAGATAAATCAAGAAAAGCTGCAGCATACTTTTCAGCTCAGCTGCAAATTGTGCTCGCCCCCAGAAGACTGCCCATTTTTATATACAAAATGCAAAACGGAAATTGCTTAAAATGATTGCATGAGGTTGCGACTTGTGTGTGTTGTGTTGTGTCTGTGTCTGTGTGTGTTGTGTGTGTGTTTGTGAAATCAATATCAATATTGAGTTCCAAATGGGATTTCTTGTTTATGTTTGAAATTTGGATTTTAAGTGTGTCATTCGAAATTAGAGTTTTCCATTACAATTTTCTCTCAAACTAAAAGCGATATGGGAATGTAAAGAATTTAAAAGCCAAATTAGTAGGAGTCTTAGTCTCCTTCTAAAATGTAAACTTATATAGATGATAGAGATAGAGATGTAGAATCCTTCCATAAGCATTGCGAATTCTAGATAAGGTCTTAGTTATTATACGAATAATTGTGGAAAGCTAAAGATAATTTAAGGTTTCATTGGAATATATACCAAAAGAAGTTCAAATTTATTTCATTTTATAACCGATTTCCGATAGCAGCAAAATATGAAAAACGATTTTGCATTCCAATTGAAATATAATATACCCAGCCATATCATTTGACTAACTTTAAAGATTTCAGATTAAAGACTTTATAGTCTACTAAGTATTTAAAATCTGATTCTCGCATTGTAGCTTGTTTTCATGTTCTAGTTGTTATACATTCTTTACTAGGACTTATAGGAATTCACTCTGTTTGCTGTTAGCTGCGACTTGACGTGCCTTCAAGTTTAAAATAACGCATTCAGCATCAACATCGCTTGTAATGCAAATTAATGAATTGTTTAAAGTACTCGGAATATTTACGCTCAAAGCAACTGAAAAAGATGTTTGTGTGTGGTATGGTGAGGGGTAAAACTGACCAATGAATATGCAAACGACTTGCCACCGGGCTACGCTACTTGAAGGCGCGACTAAAGGTCAAAGGGCGTGTGGGGGGTCGGGGTCGGTCGCGTCGAACGGTCATTAAGGCAGTTGCCTCGCTGTTTGTGCATCTGGTGCAACAACAAAGCTGCCACTGTTAATGTGGATGCAGCCTTGCCTCACTGAAATATACATAAGCAAACCAAAACTGAAGTACACTCGATGCCGGGGCATCCTTGACTGCCCCGTGCAACCGGAAGGCGTCCTCTCCGGATCTCATCTCTTTTGACGCAATTCCGCTGTAGCTCGCCGGTCTTAGTTCTCTGTAATTAAATTTTACGCGAAATTCTTTGAATTTGCTTCTTTGATTTCGCAATGGCCTCGCTATGCCACGCCTCGCCACGCCTCGCCTCGCCTCGCCTTCATTTTTTTATTTGCATTAGGAGCAGCAGCAAGAAGTCTATTAACTTCCACTCAGCAATTGGTAATAATTTATGCAGCGATGCTTTCGCTATTTGTAGTATTTCAACTCCTTTGGGCCAGGGCTGCATATCGAATCCGAATCGGCAATCGCAATATTTTTGACTTTTCGCAATAAACTTGGCATCCAATATGACTTCAGCTCGAATGGGAAATCCGCTTTAAATCATTTACTTTATGTGTCAAGAGGAAAGTGCTTTAATGGCAGCTGATTTTATATTAACATGTACATATATCGAGGGTAGATTTTTCAATAAAATAAAATTCTGTTGAGAGAGATTTTCCACTGCAATGGAAGATGTGAATTTGCTTGCCGTTTATATACCTATAAATATACATACATATATATATATATATATATTAAGTGAAATCTTTCATTTTTAAAAGCTTCACATTAAAAAAATTAGTTAAAAAGAATATTAATGATATCCGGAAAAAACAAAAGGCAAGTGAAAGTTGAGGAGTGCCGTAATAGAATTATCATATTTAGGGATGCCTGCTTTTCAGTCAAGCTCACAGCCATACGGCCCACGAAAGATTCACTCCTAATTGGCTACACACAAAAATTAGATTTACAATCCATTAAGGTCAGCTCTCGAAATTGTTTTGTAGCCCTGTGAAATAACTCGCAAATCGAAGTCGCAAAATTATTGCAACACTTTATGTGCCATGTACCCGCTTAGCCCTGTGAACTGTGTGCTCTGTGTGTGTGTGTGTGTTGCAAAAATTGAGATAACAAATGGGGGGCAGGCAAATTGATTGCATTATCGAGTCAAAGACAATGGGAAGAGGTGTAGGGGAGGGGAGGGGAGAGAGAGAGAGAGGAATGTGCCATATAAAATCGAGCGTGGCAACAAACTTAAGTGCCATATGAGAGATATGGGAGTGCTTCAAGGCTCATTTATGGTCCTTGCGTGCTGGTCACTGTTATGCATTTTCCCACACACTGAAAGGGAAAGGGAGCGATGAGGTGGAAGTGGAGGGGGGTAAAGGACATTGTCAGACATTTTGGCACGTTGTTTACTTTGTGTATAAACGAGTGCCACTTACTTATTTTGTGCCACATAATGAGCACTCCTGATGGCCGCTTATAAATTATATAACCCACAAAAGCACACACACCAACACTTAAATAAACTCGCCAGCGCCACACACACACACACACACAGACACACAGAAACGCCCACGCAATTTGATTTGTATGGCTTTTCAATTTGCTGCTTTTGCTGCTTTTTGTGTTTTCTTTTTATTTTATTTCCTCTTTTTTTTGCCTGCTTTTTTTTCCTTGGCATTTTCTTTTATTTTTTTTTTATTATTTTTTGTGCTGCATTTGCCATTGTATAAATTTTTGGTATTTGCGCCAATTTCATTCCAAATTGAGCGCTGGCCACAGTCGTTTATTTTTAATGCACCCGACAACGAAAACCAGCCAAGCAAAATGGCCCCAACAGGAAACAGGGTGAAGGGGCAAGGTTCACAGGGGTGTGTGTGTGTCTATATAGGAAACCTGGCAGAGAGAGAAATAGAGAGAGAAATAGAGAGAGACAGAGAGAGAGCAGAGTGCAATAAAACTAGATGCCTTCAGACTGCTTTTAGTTGCATTGCTTTCTTGGCCATAGAGATTAAAATAGAGTATTATGACAATCCGAGTAACTGCAAAGCATAACTACTTAACAAGATTAGAGTGAGCGATAAGGTATATGTATAAACAAAGTTGTCCAAGTAGTCTATGATTTCAAAATGTATTTACAATTTGTTTAAAAAATAATCTCTCTTTGTAATATGAGAATGCAGTGTTGTAGTTGTAGTGGCAATAGTATTTGCTATATCACCCGGTGCAATTTGATATTGTGTATATATGTTTGTTAGAGTACTAAATGATTTTTCAATTAGCTTACCACAGAAACAGTTTACTTTTGAAATCAAAACTTAACTGTCTTTTCTATAACTAAGTATGTGAAATTGGTTAAGTAAATTTACAATTATGGACAAAACATCAGAAGAAACTGTAATATATCTAGCTATAGCTCTTTAAATTATAGTATAAAACTAACTGTCAGAGTCAATAATATATATTTCTCGATGTAATATGGAAATTTTTATAGTTATATGTGAATTCTTTGATTTTGAAATGTATTTAAAATTTACTTAGAAACGGATTAGGTAATCTTTAAAATCTCACTTTTGTCTGAGATATCTTAAGATTTAATAAGAGAATGTATCGAGTTGTTGCAGATTATACATAATATATAATATTTTTTAACAAAAGAATCAAAATCCAAAGAATTTGTGTAATTCATATTTTTATCTATCTCGATGCAGTCTCAACTATTGAATTTGAATAAAACCGAATTAAATAATAAGTTTAACTCCTCTCGATACAATCAAGTATTGAACTTGTGTAAAAACTCGTGGAATAGCTTTATATATCACCTCTCCTTGCAATATCTCTCCAAGTAATCCCCAATATTGAATTTGTGTAAGACCCATTCGGATAATAAATGATTAGCCCAATGGCAACTCGAATCAATTTCGCATTCAATTGTAGCTGGATGGCTTGAAGGACTTTCTCTCTGTGTGAAGTTCGCGAAAGTTTCTTAGAGAGCAACCCAGTGCGGTAATCGGTTAGAAAGTGTTGCCTTGGGGCATGGGGATAGGGCATAAATATGTCGCTGCTTTTGGCTGCTGACTGCTGACTTCCTGTTCAAACTAAGCATTGCTTGCTGG